GCATATATGGTTGTCCATACGACATGTATGGCTGTTGAGGCGCATACGGGGCCACTTGGAACATCAGAGGACTAGAGTGAGCGGACATACCACCTGTCGGGTCCTCTCAGTTTGATTAAGAATACCTCATTGAGGTATTCTGAAAGCTGTCATTGAAGTTTGACTTTGAGGCCGACTCTGACAGTTGCATATTCTTCTTTTGCTGGATTATCATCCGAGCATCGGAACATGTTTTCTTGGAACCATCCGACTGTATATGCCGGATGGCCTTCCTCTTCCCTAGCTCAGGGAACCGAAGTCCAGCCAAGTTTATCTAGGGCTTCTGTCCCTCCCTTGGTTTAGAGTAAGGAGTGGCCTCTCAGTCTTAACCGGCTTTTTCCTCCCAAAATGAGAGGGCTTCTTGGCCGACTGTTCCTTGGTAGGGACAGCCGTCCATTTATCAATAAGATCCTTTATCTCCCCTTTGAAACTTGTCATGAGAGTCATGAGCTCGTTTCTAGTGATGGTGGTGGATCCTTCAGCCACCTGGAGCTGACCAGTCGACTGGCCGACTGTTTCACTCGGCCCTGCCTGGTCGGTGTTTCGTTCCCTCCTTTCAGTGGGATGGATGCGCCTTATTCTCAGGGACCCATCAGGGGTCGTGTGGGTGGCGACTTCATAGTCGTCATCTGTATCCTGGTCCGAGTAGACCTGGACATCGGCCATAGGCCGTTTCTCATTTAGAGGCGGTACAAGTTATTGTGAAGTCATCTCAGAAGCACTCTCCCCACAGACGGTGCCAGATGTTTCGTGGTTTTTTTATGTGCTGCGGGAGAGTTACGATTCCAAGACTGACTTCTGGACGCCTGTACTTGCAAAACAACGGAGACTCCGGTGGGTTGGAGTTCTGCCTCCGACGATCAAGTTAGAACGTGTATGAGGAGTAAAATGCGGAAAGTAAAGGTCTCTCTCGGATTCTAAGAGAGTATCTGCAATAAGTAATTGCTCAATTCGAGGTGTCAGGTGTCTGACTTTCTCTAATGGAGAGTTAATGTGAATTAAATATTTTTTAATCACGTTCCTCAGAGGGAAAATTTCCCTTTTGTAGGGTGTTGAAAAACGTGTCCAGTATTAGGATTTAGCAAACCTGGGGCTAACTGGGCTTTGCCTAGGAATTTGGGCCTTAGGAGGCCATTTTCTTGATGGGCTATCTGTCTGCCACGTGTCATGGCCTAATTGGTCCACCTTGGACCTCTCACGAGGTGACACGTGGCGGACTCTGGTTGGTCCACGTGGGTGGCACGTGGCAAGACTTGTGTGGTCACGTGGTGGGGAAAAAATCCCCTAATCAAGTATTTATTGAAGTCATATAATTGTTTATCTTAACTTATCTAAATTTTGCTCATTTTCAAAAATGAGCAATAATTTCTTACTTTAAAAATACTGAGTTAGACCTATTTTAAGAGATACATTTCAGAGTAAAGGGTGATGGAAATTTCAGAAGCCTCTTGCATTTTGAAGTACTCCTCTAGAAATTGGCAATTGACCTTATGTTTCTTTCTTAAAACGAGTCCAGCTCTGTATTCTCATTTTACATACCTTCGATTGAAATTATATTAACTTCCCTAAATCTTATATGTAGTGATCCAGGGTTTTTATGCGAGGGTGATACTGGTACTGAAGTAATGATATTTCAACTTGAAATGCTTAAAAATCGTAACAAAATTCATGGCGAAATCATTAATGCATGGTTTACTGTTCTGAATTAAAATGAGCAATATAGAAATACCAATTCTACTGGACGTTTCTTTTTCAGTCTTACTGCAAGTGTAAGTTCAACTCTTTCATTTTATTTTGTTTTATTTTGTTCATATTCACTTTGCTCATTTCATATGATTTTTTATATTTTAATGTAGATGTAGTTTGTATTTCCAAACACTAATATTAGTTCTTTGCTCATTTGTCAAATGAGCAAACTATTCAGTGCTCATTTGTCTAACTATTCTTGCTCATTCATTGAAATTAAATATTTATTTTTTGCTCATTTGTCAAATGAGCAAAACCTTCCGTGCTTATTTGTCAAAAAAATTTCAATTTACTAATTTTATATGACTTTTCTCATTTCATATTCACTTTGCTCATTTCATATTTACTCTTTTCATTTGTATTCATCATATTTATGTATTTTTCTTTATGTATTTTTTTAGGAATGCCTTTTTCAATATGAAACTGATCGTGCTCTACAAAGGAATAAAATGTTTTATGATATTGTGAATTATTTTAATTCAGCAAATCAGTCATCTCAAAGAAAGATATTGAGCTTTTCTTTTTCCCAGTATTTGAAAAAGATCATTATTTTTTGGTATGTTATAACACCACCTCAGTGCGTGGTACAATGGAGGTTATTGAATATAGTGAAGGCTCTACTGAAAACAAGAAATTTCTCAAAAATCTGGTATGGCTCAAGATTTTGTTAGATTATTTAGAAAAATGATTAGAGTTTAGTTGTTTATCTTGGTCTTGTTCTGCATATATTTGTTCTGACTATATTTGTTCTGCCTGTTTTTATTCTTATTTTAATTTTTTTGTTCATTTTCAGAAAAGCGCATTTTCATATTTCATGGATGGTCAAGGAACTATACAAAGTGTTGTTTTGTCGAAAGAGATCAAGTCTATGGAGTTTGAAGTGATTGATTTACTCTGGAAGTATTCAAATGATGATCATTTGCATTGTGGAGTTGCAATGATGAGGCATATGGAAACATATATGGGTTTGCAAAAGTGGAATTGAGGTTTAAAGAAAAATAATGTAAGTCTTTCATATTTCATGCTTGTTGTTGCAACTTACAGGCCGTGTTCCTTACTAAAATACTTAATCATTTTCTTATTTGTCAAATGACCAAATAATTATTTACTCATTTGTCAAATAAGAAAATAATTTTTACTCATTTGTCAAATGAGCATATACATTGATACCTTTTTTGTCTTGTGATTCAATGATTCAAATGAGCAAATACTTAAGTTAAGATCTTATAAGTTCATGTTAGATAAGTTACAAGATTAGTCGAACCAAAATTAGAGAAGCAAATTGACGGTTTAAACGGATGATTCTGTTATGTGTTACAGCACAATGTTCGTCCCTTGTTCTACATTTATTCTTGTTTTCTTGTTTCCTTCTTCGAATACTAGTCTAGTTGGTGATAAAATCATTGATTAATGTTTAGTCTAATCACATGTTTACAAAAAGTCACATGACATGATTCTGCAGGAAGTGACATTGAAGCCATCACAAAACAGAATTAGGAGTATACAGATTCTAAGGAATAGATTCCATATTTTAGAAATAGATTCCATCTTTTTTTTCTACGTATTTCTGAAATATGAGATGATAATAGAGAACATACCTAGCAACTGACCTGAGCAATGTTCACTAGCAACTGCCATCATACCTAGTGAAGATGCACTATTTGTCTGGGCTGTATCAGTGACAAACTTCGATTCTGTATTAGAACTTACTTCTTGTCTCGCCTCTTATAAGTTCATTTGAATTCTATTTTGCTCATTTTAATTCTATTTTCATTTTAACTCTATTTTGCTACTAACTGAATCAAAATTTTGCTTTCTAAGATGACCTGCAACTTCTAAACTATTGCTTCCCTATACTTACCCTGAACTATTGCTTCATTTTTTCTCTTTACATGTCATAATCATTGAAAAACTTCGTTTGAAGTATTGCTTTGCAATTATTTCAAGTGAAGTAAATATTGTTAAATATGTTAAAGAAATTGTTCAAAAGAAAAAGAAGGTTGAGGAAACTAGCCTTACAACTGAAGAAAGCTTGGGGCAGCAATTCAAGAGCATTCAACGGAGAGAATTGAAGACTGAAGTTGATCAATTGTTAGGATGTTCTTAGGATTTGTATAGAACAATAGAAGTATTAGTTTTTATGTTGTTATTAATGGGACAAATAATCAAATTTGACAAATGTGTTTGTGTTTATTTTGTTGTTATAACTTTAGGTATGTCAATGTAATGGAAAACATTTTCTAAAAGTTGATCTTATTAACTAAGCTGTTGCTCATTTGTTAAATTAGCAACTAAGCATTTTCTCATTTGACAAATGAGCAACTAACTATTTGCTCATTTTCTAAACGAGCAAAAAATTAATTGTTCATTTGCCAAATGATCAAATAAATGTTTGCATATTTTACAAATGAGTAACTAATTATTTGCTCATTTATCAATAAATATTTGCTCATTTCACAAATGAGCAACTAACTATTTGTTCATTTGACAAATGAGCAACTAACTATTTGTTCATTTGACAAATGAGCAACTAACTATTTGCTCATTTGACAAATGAGCAACTAACTATTTGCTCATTTTCTAAATGAGCAAAAAAGTGATTGCTCATTTCCTAAATGATCAAAGAAATGTTTCCTTATTTTCCAAATGAGTAACTAATTATTTAGAAAGTGTATATCATTTCACAAATGAGCAAAGAAATGCTTGTTGATTTAATGTATGATTAAAGAATTGTTTGCTCATTTGACAAATGAGCAATTAACTATTTACTCATTTCAATAAAATTAAAAACACAAAATTTATATATGAGGGGTTGTGCTAAAAATATGAAACTTCAAATTTGAGCTCAATTGTATTTCGAGGCATGATTATTATAACAAATCCCTCAACATCTTTTAGCCATTGGTGGTATTTTTGATCTTATTCTTCCCAAAATTCTTTCTCCTACAAAGTCTGTCGGTCTTATAAATCAAAGCATACTGACAGAGTGATAAATAGATGCACACAATGACAAGAACAGAAAACAGAGAAAGAAATAACAAGTACATCCTACAGTTAGGAATTTATATAAAAATATTTAATCTTATATTTATATAAAGTTATCATTACACTTTTTCTGAACAATTTCTAATATCATGATGACTCAATTCACCACAACATCTACATAATCTCTTCTTTTTTCTGGTTTTGTTCTACAACCTTTTCTTTTTTTCCCTTCAGCCTTTTGCACTTCTATCTCTTGTTTCAACATTTGGCACATCAATCTCAGCCCCTTTCTTTTTTGAAGTCTCTTCATTTGATAGATGAACTCCAGTCCCTTTATTCTTTGAAAATTTTGGAGGTTTGACAATTATTTTAGTTGGCACACTAGCTCCAATCAATAGCTCAATGTCTTGTCCTTTATTGTTTTCACTTCTAGCTGTTGTTTCATTATTTCTTGCAATCCTCTTCGCCTCTAAATCCTTTCTTATTCCTTGAATATTTATCATAAGTTCTTGAATATCTTCATCTTTGCCTTCTACCAAACTTACACAAGTGTGTATCTCTGACCATAAATCATTTAACAATTTTTTCTTGTCAATTAAATCAGCACATTACTCCAACGGGTTTCCACCCAAGTCAAAAATTAGTTTCTTCAGTGCCATAGTAGTCCATCTGTGTACCATATACTGCTCAGGAATGGTTTCAAACCTTTTTGCTTTCCAAACCCAAATCATATGTCTACATGGAATTCCTTGTCTATAAAATAGCTTGCAAGAACATGTGGTGTCATAGTTAGTTGGATTAAACACAACATCAAATGTTCTAATCCGATTTCCTTCACTTACTTTTGCAACTTCCAATCCATTTTCTTTCTTCAATTCATCAACACCACAAGAAAAACAAGCAATTTCAACCTCATATTGAAATTCATAAAAGACAGAGTTAGTATATAAATGTGAGGCATGCTTTTCTATCCCTAGTGGTGTTTTGCACTCAGGATATTTGTGCTTTGAATCGTTATCATTCTGACCTTGAGTGTGTCTTTAGGCATCAATTCCAGCTTCATATCTCAAGTAAAACTCAACAAGTGACACATGAGGATTGATAAAGGAGCAGAAAAAGTTGTTTTCACTTTCGGATCTTGGTGTTGTACGCATTATTCCTCCAAGGAACACATCTCTGAAATACGCCGGAATCCACTTGACCCATATCTTGTACATATAACCTAACCACTCATGTTCTTCCAAGTGGTATTCAACCATCACCTTGTTCCACCTTTCTTCAAACTCAGTGGGTTCAATTTCAAGATGCCAAACGCAAGAACATATTTTTTTTAGGTAACCAGTTTCTTCTTGCATGATTGATTTCTCCACCTTATTTGGTAACTTTTTCATTATGTTCCACATACAGAACCGATGTTCAGTCTTCTTAAACACACTTTTAACAGCAATTTTCAATGTTGGATCCTAATCTGTGATCATACAATTAGGTTCATTCCCACCCATTTGCCTTGAGAAATGATCTGAACAACCACTTAAATGACACAATATCTTCCTTCGCTATGAAACCAGCAGCAAAAGTAATGCAGCTCTTATGACGGTCAACCCCTGTAAATGGAGTAAACACCATGTTGTACCTGTTTATACATACAGATTAAATTTTAAATGAGTAAATAATTCAATGCTCATTTGTGAAATAAACAAACAATTCTTTGCTCTTTTGTCAAATGAGAAAATAATTGAATGCTTATTTGTCAAATGAGCAAATAACTCAATGCTCATTTGTTAAATGAGAAAATAACTCAATGCTCATTTGTGAAATAAACAAACAATTCTTTGCTCTTTTGTCAAATGAGCAAATAATTGAATGCTCATTTGTCAACTAGCAAATAACTCAATGCTCATTTGTGAAATAAGCAAACAATTCTTTGCTCATTTGTCAAATGAGAAAATAATTCAATGCTCATTTGTCAAATGAACATGCAATTCAATGCCCATATACATACTCTTATCAAAGAAAATTAGACTTATGGGGATATTCACTTTTCACATTGAAGTAAGCAAACTTTTCACATTGAAGTAAGCAAACAATTATACTAAGTTCATTTAAAACAAAGTCATTAAGTTAAGCCATAGTTATAACATAGAAATGAATTGTGATTATTATATATTACCTATTGGTTTGGTATATGGTATCAAAGGATACAATATCACCAAATAGAGCATAACTCTTTTTACAAAGGGGGTCTGCCCACAATGCTCTACAAAGGCAGTAATCTTCATCCATCTCAAAATCAAACAAAAAAGCACTCCACATTAGCTTTTTGTTGGTAAAATTATCCACGAACATTTGAGCATCGCTTCCTTGAATGTATGCTTTTAAATCTCTATGAAAATTTTTGAAATCTTGCTTAGATGCACCAATGTTATCATATCCTCCAACAATTTCCTTCATCATTCGAAAAGTTGTAACGGGACCAATATTCACCTATTTAAAGAACAAAACAGTTTTTCAAATGAGCAAACAATTTAATGCTCATTTTTCAAATGAACAAACAATTCAATGCTCATTTTTCAAATGAGCAAATAATTATTCGCTCATTTGACAAATGAGCAAACAACTTTTATTAGAACATATAGAGAATTCATGAAACATAATAGACTTTGAAAGTGTTACCTTAGAATTATTCACAATTCTTTTTTTGTGCAATATCTTCATTTTATTCTTTTTTGGAAGAGATTGCAACTAGGTGTATAAAGTGCAAGAGTATGTCCCTCATAAAATTGTGACACTATGAATTTGTTGTCATCACAATGCTTTATGACAACATGTGCCTTGCACCCAACACGAGTAACGAGTCCCTTCCTTTGGATTGAAGCTTTTTCTTCATTGCTTTCTCCTTCCTTGTAATTTAAATCTTTTTCAACAGTAGCCTTTCTTTTCTCTTTGTATCCTTCCTTATTGCATAAGATATACTATGATTTCAATTCTTTGCTTCTTCTTTGTCTTTTAGTTGTAGACTTTCTTGTGTTGAATCCAGCAGAAAATGCGTAACTTTTATAAAATTCAAGGCCCTCTCCAAGATTATTAAACTTCATTCCTATAGCTGGTTTCAACTCATTGGGGCATATTGGAAGCCATTCTTTTGTTCCTCTAGGAGTGAGAAAAGGTGATACTTTAGGAGAAACTACTATTGTAGGAGTAGTTAGCACATTTGTGATGGTACTAGAATGACTGTCAAGTTGTTCATTGTTCCTCATCATTTCTGTCATTAAACATAATAGAAATAACAAGTCATTAACATTCCCAAAAAATAGTAACAAGTGAATATGCACCCCCTTAAACACACTTACACACAGACTCTCAATAATTAGAACTGAAATTAGATTCTTAAATAAGAATGTACACGGCCAAAAGCAAACACACACACTCTTACATACACTCTAATATTCACTCACACACACATAACACACATACACACACACACAACAACAACAACAACAACAACAACAACAACAACAATTTCTGAAATCAGAACTGCAAGTAGAAAGATGAAGGGGCAGGGGGATAGGTTTGTGTAGGGAAGTGGAAGAAGGGAGTGTGGTTGGTATGCAGGAAACAGACCAAGAAGAAGGGGGTGGGGCTTGTGCACAAGCAAGCAGACCAAGGAACTCAATGCTCATTTTTGAAATAAGCAAACAATTCTTTGATCTTTTGTCAAATGAGCAAATAATTGAATGCTCATTTGTCAAATGAGCAAATAACTCAATGCTCATTTGTGAAATTAGCAACTAAGTATTTGTTCATTTGACAAATGAGCAACTAATTATTTGCTCATTTAACAAATGAGCAACTAAATATTTGCTCATTTGCTAAATGAGCCTATATATGATATATTACTTGTCAAAATAACACAGTATAACGCAGCAAAATCAAGCATAAAGCATATCTATAGAACCAAATTTACATCGAATGATCAATTTTATATAAACAGTCAATTATAGACCAGGAAGATGCAGGAGAAATTGATTTTGGATACTGTTGTATATGCAATCAATCATGAATGCTCCTTAACTAAAATCACTTTCTACTGTGATCTGTCAGTAGCTGAAATCTGCAGCAAGCTGAATGCCCCTAAGGACTGCTAGCGGAGGCGGTGAAGAAGCCACCTCTATCTCTGGAGCTGAGAAAAGAGAGCCCTCCCATGAGGGAGACAGCAGTGAGGCCGCCTCTAGGTCTCGATCTGAGAAAAACAGCAGTAGCAGCTATCTTACACCGGTTGTAGATAGCGAGGAAGAAGAGAGGCCAACTTGGAATAATAGGGAGGAATCCCTCCGGATTCAAGTCTCAGCCAGAGACAAGGCCAATATGGAAAAACATCTGGAAACCTTTATCCGCAAGCGGCTTTTAGGGAAGGGCTATACCATCCGGGTACCGCCTGAGATGAGCACCATAGCTTGGAAGACAACCAGCGCAATGCAAACGGATATTTTGAGTGTTATGAGGCGGCCTTTCTAGCTGGTCTCCGCTTCCCTCTATATGACACAATAAAGGCCATCCTAAGAAGGTATGGCCTAGGCGTGTGGCAGTTAACCCCCAACTCTTGGGTTAACATTTTATACTACATCGCCGCTTGTGAAATGCGGGGCCTCCATCCCGGCTAGGAGGCCTTTGCCCACATGCATTACTTGAGCCGAAGTCCAGGCGGGTGGAGGGCATGGTATACCCTAACTACCTACCCCAAGTACCTGATGACCCTAGACAAACCGTCTAAGTGGTCAGACTGGAAAAACCGCTTCTACTTGGTCTCGGCTCCCACAAAGCAAGAGAACTCCGAGCTCCGGACCTATAATCAAAAGCCAAGCCTGCTAGGGCAGAAGTGTAAATTGCCCCAAGTCCCAGATGAGGACTATGAAAGAATAATAGAGGCGGGGTTTTTTGAACTTACCACCACTGCCCTCTCAACCGGCGAATTAATAAGCGTACCCAAGAATTGGGTACCCAAACATGAGTTTTTGCGGGATAAGGCCTTCTTATCCGCTTGTGGATTAAGCACCCAGTTCAAGAAATGTATGCTTCGAATGCATCCGGCACATTTTATGTCGCCTTTGTCCCTTGTGAAATTTTGGCATAATGATCTAATCAGACGGTTTCTTTTTGCAGTGAACGCTTTAATGATGTTGCCAGAGAGCAAAACCCCTGCAAGATCCGCCGCAGACATCCGCAAAGAAAATGCGGAAAAGAAGAAAGCTGCCCAGGCGGCTAAAACCCAGGTAAAAACGCCTGTCTCACCCGTTTAGGGCACTCATCAATATTATTTTACACCGGCTGACTATAAAGACTTTAATTTTTACTCAGGATGGAAGCAAGGCGCCTCGATCGCTCACAAAGTTGATCAGGCCAAGGCCTGGGGGGGAGGGTGGAAGTGGCTGCCCCCAACAAGTCACAGAAAAGTTTGCCCAAGCGGCCCCAAGCCGCATGACTGTTGGGGGCAAGAGCGTCAAAAATACCGGCGCAGGATTCGATCTCACCGCCCGCCAACCGGATGCCTCTGAGGCTCCCAAAACTACGGGTTTGAAGACACCTGTAGTTATCGTGTCCTAAGGTACAGCAAATCCCTTCAACTCTTTAATGCTTGGCAGACCCATGCGGGTCAAGTCACACTCTCAGCTCTAGCCAGAAGATTCTTCTGGTAGCCGCCAATCTATGGGAGGAGCATATGTAGCTTTCTCACCGTCTCTTTCTTGTGCAGATTCTCCCCCCGGTGGCCGGACGTACAACAATACTCCTGGGCGATGCTGAAAGCCATCCCCAAGGAGGAGAAAGAGGCGATCCCAGGGATCGTTGTCTTTGACGCCGACCGGGTCCTGGCTGGCCTGGCTGAGGTATGAGAATGCCTATTTCCTCTCTCCTTTTTTCTTTTTCTTTTCTTTTTTTTATTTTAACTTCTAATCCCTGTTGTGGTCATCAAGTCAATGCTGCGCGTGGATGGGCTGAAAAGGGCATATGCCAGGAAGTAGGAGGAGGTAAGAAGGGTCCAAAGAGAGGCGCCTGAGACCCATAACGTTGCTCAATATTCCATGATAGTGCACGAACTTGAAACTAAAAGTCAAATCATACAACAGGCGGACTCCAGCAAACGGCTTTAGAAAACCCTCGATGAGACCAAAACCAAACTCTTCAATCTTCAGGAGGCATACAAAATTCTGAAGACGAGCTTAAGAAGGCGGAGGAGGCTCTCAAATCTTTGAAAGGCGCCAAGAAAGAGAAATCCTCCCTCAAAGCCGAAAATGAACGCCTGAAGAAGGAGGCGGCTACTGCCAGTAAAAATTTTGAGGCCACTCTTCATGCTAAGAAGAGCCGGCTCATCGAGGAGAATGAGCAAGACTATGAGAACCGCATGAAAATGGCCTAGTCCCTTGTGCATCCGGAGACGGATTACACCGTCTGGGAGCTGGCCTACAAATATGCAGATCTTGCCATTCTGGCCAAAGAGGAGAACAAGCCGGAGCCCGAGCCGTATGAGGAGTGGGCTAAGAAGGAGATTAAGGCCATGCAAGCTGATGCAGGCTTTGATGAGGATGAGGAGAACCAAGCGGAAAATCAAGAGAATCCTACCTCAGAACCAGCATCCACCAATGCGCCTCGCCCGCCTCCTCAAGCTTAAGCTTTCTTATTTTTATTCCCTTCTCCGGCCTGCGCGCCGTGTATCTTTGTAGTCTAACGATGCTTTCTTTTCTCCTAGATGTGCATCCGGTTAACAATTTACTCTCGGTCTTCTGGTCGGGTTTGATTAATGGTTATTTGCCAACTGTGTCGGTTTTGCAAGCTTGATTTTAATTTTTTACAATTCCGTTGAATTTTTGCATGTTGCATTTTTTGCTAATTTTTGACAAGTAGTTGTTTCCATGTGGTCGTCTGAATGTCCTAGATATATTTTCCCCTAGACGGATGTGTGCTTGGTTGATTATTGTTGAATTTTAAACTGAGCAGACATCCGTTTACCAGACATGCGGGATCATTATGAAAAATACCGGCTGTAATAGATTTTGTAAACCAGTTCTGGCCAGTTAGTTCAATATTACACAGACGGGCATAGACCGTGCGTAGGTAATTTGAACAGAAGCGACCTAGCCACTAAGTTTAGGCTTACATCTTTATATTAGCCGTCTGTGGTACCTTTGGGCAACAGACGGTTTAATCCAACCAAGTCAACGGTCTCTGGCTGTATTGAAACAGGCGGGAGACATGTTGCCAGAGCTTCAATTAATCTCTTAAACGGTTGAGTTATCTTAATCTAGACACTTAGTTAGACCGCTTGTATTTTCGTTTATAGAGCAATGTACCACCCAAATAGCAGATGCTCTCCTCGACGAATTCACCCGAATGGGGTGTCTCCGGGTGCCTACTGTTGGGGTAGGCACTTACCTGTAATATCTGGCCATTGGCCTCCTGAGTTTGGTCAAAAGGAACGACCTAGCCGCTTGGTCCTTGGACTTAGCTTAATATTGCTCTCGTGGAAGCAGATGTAGAAAAAATCATACACACCCGCTTGCGCATTGCATAGACGGTTCTCATGTACAGAAAGCAAATAAATACATTTGAAAACAAAGTTACTTTCATTGATATACTTTATTTACAATAATTTACACAAAATCTCAGAAGTGGTACTTTTTCAAGTTATCCACATTCCAAGTTATGGCTAGCTGCCTACCGTCTAGTGTTTCCAGGCGGTAGGTGTCGCCTCAAACTTCCTCACAGATTCGATAGGGGCCTTTCCAATTACGAATCAGCTTTCCTTGCTCATTGGCCCTACCGGTTGCCTCCATTTTTCGCAACACAAAGTCCCCCACTTTTAGAGGCCGCTTGTGCACTCTTTTGTTGTAGGTTCTGGTCATTCTCAGACAGTATATCTCATGACGCAAGGCGGCATTGCCCCTGCGCTCCGGGAGTGAATCAAATTCTAGACGCATGGCCTCCCAGTTGTCCTCTTCATCATAGAGCATGACTTGGAGTGTTGGCTCGTAATGCTCAATAGGCAGGACGGCTTCAGTGTCGTATGTCATGTGAAACAGGGTTTCGCCGGTTGCTCCCTTTTTAGTTGTTTTGATGGCCCATAAGACATGAGGCAATTCGTTTGCCCATAGACCACCAGCCCTTTCAATTTTCTTCTTGATGTCGTCTGAGATGAGTTTGTTGAAGGCTTCAACTTGGCCGTTTGCTTGGGGTCGGCTGACTGATGCAAAACAATGTGAGATCTCTT